AAGGAGGAGGAGAAGGAGTGGGAGGAGGAGGAGGAGGAGGAGGAGGAGGAGGAGGAGGAGGAGGAGGAGGTAACCAAGTGCTCACTATCTCCCCACAGGGAAAACAGGTTTGGCGGGGTTCCTCCCAGCTGCTCAGGCTGCCCCTGCAGTGGGCCTCATCCCCCTCACCACCAGGGGTGCTGTCATCCTGGGGTGTAGAGCAGCCTTGGAATAGGTGCCAGGAGAGAGATGACACCCAGGAGAGTTCGCCCAGGGAGTCTGCATCCATCTGTATGGGAGCGTGGGAACGGGGTCAGCAGGCCCAGCCCTGGGAGCGCGAGGGCAAGGGGGCTGCCCGCTCTGGGGACCTGCCCTGCACACAGCCCAGGAGCAGCCTGTCTCCCCACCCTGTCCCCCAACCCTCTCCCGTGGCCCCCGAGGGCGCGGGGTAGGAGCTGCGCAGGGAGCTGCCACCCTGGCGGGCCTCTGTACGCTGTACGCGCTGTGCCGAGGGCCGGTGGGTGCGCGGCTCCTGTTTCTCCTCTCCTCCTCCCCCGCACTGTTCGTGTTCTCACCATCAGCTCAATAACCCTTCCTCCCAGCTCCTCCCGTTTCTGGGACAGCAGAGCCAGGGCTTCAGGGATTAAAACTGGGGGAGGCTGGGGAGGCTCCTGTGCGCTGAGCCCAGAGGAAATGCCAAAAGGGAAGCCGCCCCGCCCCGCTGCTCCCTCCCGGGTGAGAGCTCCGGGTGCCTGGGCCGGGTGGCACCGGGTCAGGTGGGGAGGCCCGAGGAGGGTGGCCCACTGCCCTTCCTCACGCTCCTGAGCCCCGACACACACATACACAATGGCAGGCTCGCTCCGGTCCCGGAGAGCCACAGATGGCCGTCTTCCAGGGCAGTGGGCTGTGCACGTGGCAGGACCACGGGAGATTGTGGGGACCCTGTCGGCTGCACAGGGAGGAGGCACGTCGCCGCAAGCACATCCGTGTGACCTATAACCCCTAAGCCACGTGGACTCGCCGTGAAATTGGACGTTAAAAGCAGAGAGGACCTGCCTGGGGCCTGTACTCTGTCGTCCAGCACAATCTAGTCGTGGGCAAAATCCCAAAGACGCAGTTTGGAAAGCGGTACGTTTTCCTTCCCACACCCTCTGCTCCTGACCCGGGTGTACCCCACGCCTGGTCAGGAACGCGCCCCACAGGCAACAAAGTGCGCGGGGCCGGAGGGTGAGAGTTTTGTTCCGTTGTCACCTGGAAAGCAGGTGACAAAACTGCCCGTTAAACCCATCCAGCGTGTCTCTGACTGCCCGTCACTGACCTAGAGAGCCGGAGAGGGCCCTTCCCTCCCACACGCACTGAGGCAGCGCGATGCAGGGCAGCGCGGCCATCCCAGTGCAAATGCGAGCCCCAATGGCACCCACACGGCCCCTCCTGCTCAGCCGCTCTCCCAGCGCCCGGTGATGTCTCCGTGCGGAGGCCTGAAGGAAGCCCGGAAGAGCTGAGGGACACATGAGCTAGCCACCAGGTGGATCAGGGACAAGTCCCTGGTCCCCGAGCATCTTTAAGGACCTGATAAACGCGTGCAAGGCTGGGCAGGAGGAGGAGGAGGGCCGAACCCACTAAGATCTATGGCTGCTGTTCTCACTGGCTGGGCTGCAGCGGAGGAGGTGGGGGGGGGGGTGACAGGGGGAGGGGAGGACCTGGGAACGCAGAGACCTCCCGGCAGCCCCCGCCGCCGCTCACTGTGTGGCTGTGGGTACGAGCAGATTTAGACACTGGGGCATGTTTGTCCTCTTTGGTCTTCAATAGGAAGATGGACTGCAGCCCGAGCTGCTCACCTTAAAAAAAATCACAGCAAAGCGATGAGGACTGCACAGGGGCAGCTGTTACTTAGCAATATCACCCTTTCCTTTAAAATATGCTGCCCAGCCCAGTGCAGTGGCTCAGTGGTTAAGCATTGACCCATAAATCAGAAGACCACGGTTCGATTCCCGGTCAGGGCACATACCCAGATTTCCGGCTCAATCCCATGTGGGGAGTGCAGGAGGCAGCTGATCAATGATTCTCTCTCATCACTGATGATTCTCTCTCTCTCCCCCTTTCTCTCTGAAATCAATAAAAACATATTATAAAACAAAACAAATAAAATAAAATATGGCTGCCCATGCTGGACCGGCCCAGCTGAGGAGGCACAGTGAAGACAGGAAGGCCCCAGGCAGCGTGGCCCTGGCAGGGACAAGGGCTCAGGGAAGGCGTGGGGCCAGCTGTGTGGAGGCACGTGCACAGCAGCCAGCTGGCTTCACTAATGCAGGGGCAGAGCAGCAGGTGATGGAGGACCAGAGGGGTGAGTAACCTGGGAGAGGTGAGTAACCCGGGAGGGCAGGACTGCAGCTGAGAGTTCAGAGGAAAAGGGAGAGGCTGAGACCTGGGAGGAAGGGCTGATTTCTCAATAAGGTGAGGAGGTCTTCTCACAGTGGGGGCAGAACACTGATGGGCAGACGTGCCGTTGTTGCAGAAGACCAAAGAAAAACCAAGTGACGCTTTAAAGAAGAGAAGGGACACTGTTTAATACACCGGCAGACTCAGGGAACAACTTTCCAAATCTGAGTGAAGGAACATGCAGGGGCTTTCCTTTATATCTCCCTGTGGTCTTTGTCTCGAAAACATGGATTCTGCTTCCGGTCCTTTTCGAGGGCCTTGCAAGAAGGCCCCCAGGTATTAGGGTCTCCAGGCCATGTCTGAGGGTCTGGCCTGGCGCCAGAGCTAATAGCCCTCCCTGTGGGGCAGTGCACTGTCCACAGTAAGAGGTTCTGCAAGACCAGCATCTGGGAAGGAGGTAGGGACTTAATTATAGGTTATCAGGAATGTACACTGAGCTTGCTGGCATGGATTCAGCTGACTAGCCCCCAATGTCAGGGTTACATTGGAATTAACCCTTTATGGCCTCCTCACCATGAGGGGGTGGCACACGGCCTCACCAAAGGCTTGCAGGGCCCCATGGAGGCTGCATGGAGGCCGAAGGGTGGACTTGGGGGGTGGGGGGCTGCTGGAAACGTGAGGGCTCCAAGGCAGAGGGTGGGGAGGGTGGGCAGGAGGAGAAGGAGGGCAGAACCCACTAAGAGGGAGGTGGGGGGGAGGGGCACTTGGCTCCAGGTGTGGGAGGCCGCAGTGCCCCGAACCAAAGGAAGGCCGACAACCCGAGAAGCCCATGCAGGGCCCCGGCCGCAGGGCGGCTCTAGCGCTGTTCGCATCTTTAAATCGCCCAAGAGCCACTGTGATGAAATGGACCGCAACTCTGCCAGGCGCTGTGACTAACCTCGCATGAGCATCCGTCTCGGCCCCCTCAGTACGCAGCGCCATGCCGACCCGAAAGGCTCGTTCTTTATACGCTCTGAGCACAGCTGTGAGCAGTGCACGAATGTGACCAACTCATTTGTCATGCAAACAGCGCTCTAGAAAGAAATAAAATACTATTATGTGGTATTTGTGTTAGGCAATCACTACATCAAATTCATGGTGTTCGGTGCAAACACAGGCAGGGATCAGGAAAACAACACTTGGTGAGAGAAGGTGTACCACCTGGGAGCAGCTGAGGCGGAGGCTGGAGGCGGGAGGCGGAAGCCTGACCGAGCCGAGACCGTAACTCCCGGCGATGTGGCCGGTGTGGAGGACCCTGCGGTGGAGTGAGGGCAGCATGCAGACCATGGGCAGAGGGGCCTTGCCCACAGACCGGACCGAGAGGGGACAGGAGGCACGAGGTGGGGGCAGACAGGGGGGAGCAGGGGAGGGAGGCTGAATTGGAGGGTAGACATGGATGGGACCCCTAAGGCCTGCAATACCAGGGAGGGATGTGGAAGGAATAGGAGGAAGAGGGAGGCGGAAGGAAGCTAGGGACCAGAGCTCTGTTTCCATTTGCTGCTTTTCCCCAGGCCCCCTCGGGCTTTCTCTATAAGAGCTGCCGTGTCGTCAAGCGCTGCCCTGTGGGGTCTAGCCGGCGGCCAGAGGTGCAGGTGAAGTACAAACACCAAGGAGCACAGTCCTAGGCAACCTCAAACAAACCACCTCAACCAATCCTCCCAAAAGCCAAGGTTCGCTAACCAGCAGGCCAGCTGCTCACTGGATGCAATCACACACGGGAGAGGGGTGCCGCTGGGATTCCAGGCCCGGCCTAAACCCACCCGACCCCACTCTCCTGGAGAAAACCCTGCCAGCTTGGCACAGCCTCCTCCCAGAGCCCCACTGCCCACTCGGCCCTCCGTGATGCCCGCGGGGCAGGAAAGCCAGCCTGAGGCCACGCGCGGGTCAGCCGGACTCCTAGCTGCCTGGGGGCCACTCCGGACCAAGCCAGCCCATCCCTGAGCGAAGGGAGCGTGAGTCCTCACGCGGAGAGGCCACCCACTAAGTCAGCATGGCTCCCGCCCGCCCGCCAGGGGGCAGTTTTTGGAGGGTCACAGTACACCAAGGTCGTGGGTGCCATCCCGGGTCAGGGCACATACAAGAAGCAACCAATGAAGGCATAAGGAAGTGGAAGGACAAACTGATGTCTCTCTCTCTCTGCTTTCCTCTCTCTAAAATCAATGAAAATCAACATGACTCTATTGAGTGCCTAACATGTCAGGGGCTGTGCAAGGGGTGGGAGATTCAGACATAGACACCTTGGAACTAAGCAAGGACGGGGGAAAGGAAGAAAAACAAACCCCTAGGGCCTGGGACCTCCCCAGTGTGGAGACGACCTCCTCATCATGGCGGGCCCGCCGGTCCCTCCAGACCTTCCCATCATGGCGCCCGGAGACCTTCCCATCATGGCACCCGGCGACCTTCCCATCAGGGCGCCCGTCGACCTTCCCATCATGGCGCCCGGCGACCTTCCCATCATGGTGCCCGGAGACCTTCCCATCAGGGCGTCCGTCGACCTTCCCATCATGGCGCCCGGCGACCTTTCCATCATGGCGCGGCCCCGCCCCCTCGGCCCGGCGGCGGAGCAGTTCCGGGCGCGGTGCACGCCGGGACGGCTGCTGGCCATGGCCGGCCTGTCAGACCCGGAGCTGCGGCGGGAGCTGCAGGCCCTGGGCTTCCAGCCCGGACCCATCACCGACACCACCCGGGACGTCTACCGCAAGAAGCTGCGCCACCTGCGCGGCGAGGCCCGGCTGCGCGAGGAGCGGCCGCGGGGCGAGGAGCGGCTGCGGGCGGAGGCCCCGCTGCGCGCCCGGCCCGCCTCGGCCGTTCTGCGGGCGGAGCCCTGGGCGTCCCCGCCGGCCCCGACCGCGGTTTTCGCGGCCGCCGGGGCCTACGGGGACTTCCGGGCGCCCGCGGCCGCCTGGCCCCCGAGCCGCGACCCCGCCTTCGCCGCCCGCCCCGCGCCGCTGCGGCGCCGCGCCTCGGCCCGGGGCAGCTCCGAGGAGGACGAGGACGCCCGGTCGCCCGACCGGCCCGGCCTCCGGGCCCGTCGCTGGTGGGCCCCGGCCCGGCCGCCCCCCGGCTTCGGCCCCGACCCGCGCCCCGGCCTGCGGGCGCCCCGAGCGGGCGCGGCGCAGGCCCGGCCCGAGGCGGGGCGGCGGCTGGAGCGCTGCCTGTCGCGGCTGCTGCTCTGGGCGAGCCTGGGGCTGCTCTTCGTCTTCCTGGGCATCCTGTGGGTGAAGATGGGCCGGCCCTCGGCGCCGCGGGAGGCGGAGGACCACAGTACGTCGGCGGGGGCCAGGCGGCACACCCCAGGCCCCGCGGCGGGAGGAGCCCAGCCTTCCCGGCCTCGCACCCCTGTTGCCCCCTCTGCCCAGGACTCCCTCGGCCTCGCGCTGCGAGCCGTCATGGGGTTCGCCCTCTGGAAGAGGCCACCCGCTCCGGCAGGCACACGCCCCCTTTCCTTTCCGCCCCCCCTTTGGTCTCCCGCGCTGTCACGGTTTGCGCATTAGAGGCACCTCAGGTCTCGCCCACTGGCGGGTCCCGGCACCTATGTGGCTGTGTGCCCGCTGCTTTGGACCCGGGGCCCTCCTCGCCTGTGTGGCGGGTGTGCAGAACCTTCTCGGCGGTAAAATCGGTGAAGGGGTGCCTTGCCGTGGCCTGCAGGGCCCTCGGGGTGTTAGGAGAGGGTCCTGTGGTCCAGGGAGCCCCAGCCACCCTCCTGTCCGCACAGGGCGAGGGTCAGCCGGCAGCGAGGTCTGCAGGGCGGACTGCCTGGGTCAGGAGGAGGGCGAGCTCCCTGGAGGCACAGCTGCGCTGCTGGTCCTGAGCTATCTGACGGACAACCAGGGCTCTTCTTGCTGGAGCCCAGTGAAAAGTGACACTCCTTCACCATAAAGACTCCTTTGCCACGTGTGCACGTGGCCAGTACTGGCCCCGGAGCTGGCCAAGGCCACATCTTTCTGTGGCAGGAGCTGTCCAGGTCTTAGCTGCTGCAGCCGGCGGCATTTGGTTGTGGACACATCTGTGGGCACGGGGACCCCAGACTCTGGCACACGCTCAATTCCTGACTGTCCCTCGCTGAAGACCCATAGGCCAGGGGCGGGCACTGTGACCACACAGGCAGAGCGCAGACTACCTGGTGGGATACGCAGCCAACAGCGCTGGCCATATCCTAGGTTTACCCAGAGTTCCCCTCCCGTGATCATATTCATCCCTGTTTAACATGTCATCACTTACAGTTTATAAATTGTCACGTATGTTGCCTTGTTTGAGGGTCACTCTCCGAGTCAGGCCAGGGAGGCCCTGTGGGTCCTATTCACGCTGAGGAGTGAGGTCGAGTCACCCAGAGCCCACCAGGACCCGCTGTCCCCAATCCCAGTCCAGGGCTGGGCACTTGCATTTTATTTTCTGCTCGTTAGAGTGCCTCGGTCCAATGGCAGCTTTGGCTCAACCCCGCCTGAGGCTGGTCATGGTTTACCCCCTGGGTTTTGAGTGGGACCTGTTGGTATTCCTTTCCTCAGCCCACACTTTAATTTCCTCTGTTTCTTTTCTGGTCCCAGTGAAATTGTTGCCAGTGGACTGCGAGAGGAAAAACGATGAGGTGAGTGTGAGCTTCTCTGTCGTTCCTCCCGCCCAGCACGTGCCGTCCTTTCAGGAGCCCGTGTGTGACGTAGACACCGGTCTGGGTGCTGGGCCCGGCTCTGCTGGTGGCGCCCGGGATGTGGGTCCCCTGCCCCGGTCCATCCCGGGGGTCGCAGCTGGTGGTGAAGGGCCTGTGCTCCCTGCTGTGGAGGAAGGGCCGGCGGTTCCTAAGCGACAGGAGGCTGTGATGTCAGTTCCCCCTTCTCTCCTGTAGTGCTTTGTGGCTCTGAAAATGCTGTTCTGATTTGAGACGTGGGGGTGGGGGTGTTTGAAACACACGTGAAGTGGAATTGGTCCTCTTAGTCTATAGATTTGTTTTATGAAGCCTTAATGTTCCCCACAAATAGTATTTGGGGACAGTGAGCAGCTGTGAAGGGAGCATGCGTGAGGAGCTGGGGGCAGAGAGGTCTGGGGAAACACGAGGCAGTGCATCTTCAGTCCTAAGTCCTCTCCGGGGAGCCGGGCGGCAGGGGGCACGCCCAGCAGTCTCCTAACTAAGCGTCTGCAGGGCTCCCCGCCCCGCTCACATCTGCTCCCCCCACACCCACGTTCTGAAGGGCATCCTGGTTTCTCTTGGCTTCTGCTGTGCCATATTTGAAGTTTTGTGAGTTCTTTTTACAGTAATTCATTGCATTCATCCACCAAATATCTTTGCTTTCCAGTTGTTTTGTAGAAACATATTCATAGGTTTCGTTTTCCTTCCATCATAAAAACCACAACTGATGGTTAGAGGAAGGAACCCAGAAACGTAGGCAGCAGCTAGAGGAGGGACTAGAATTTTGAAGACCGAAAACCAAAATGGGAAGAAAAGAGCTTTCTGTGAGACTTCTCTGGTGATGCTAATTTTGTTGTCTTTTAGTCCCTGGTTTCTGTTTCTTGACCCTTCCCGTCTCTAAATGGATCGGGCCCACGGCTGAGGGACGGATTCGTTCCCTCCGTTACCTGGCCCTCCTCTGAGCAGACCTGCCTGTGCCCTGCTCATGAGCCAGACAGATGCAACCCAGGCCTTGCTAAAGGTGCACCCAACCAGCCAGCTGCGCCACGAACATTGGTGCCTGGAAGGCCAGCATCTGGGCCCCCTCCTGGGCTCCGTGGAGCTGAGAGTTCATGGGGTGCCCTTGGCCTTCCTGGGGAAGGTGGGAGGCACGTGTGCTGTGCTGAGGCTCTTGCTGAAAGTCTCATTTTTTGTGTGGCTCCAGCTCACCCATACCCAGCAGGGCATTTGAGTTCCTTTCTCTTCTCAGCAGACGTGACACTGTATTTTCTTTCTGCCTTTTTGCTCCTGAAAACATGGGGACAGGCTGGGAGCAGGCGTGTTGTCTTATTGGCAGTCCTGTTGGCTGGGACTTTGTGTCCTGTTTCCTTTCGGTGGCATCAGCCTGCTTCGCCTGGATGTTGGGGACGTGCAGCAGTGGTCCTTGTCACTGCCGCGTTTCTGGTGTGAATGCGAAAGATGTTAGTATGGAGCGCTTGTAAAGCAGCGCCACCCATGACTCTGCCACCTAGAGATAATACTGTTAACGATTTGGGGATCTTTCCTTCCCCTCTTATCCCTGTCTGCACATTTATAGAATCGGATTCTTGGCATATATTCAGTTAGATTATTCCAACACTTCCCCACCTGAAACATTCTTTAAAGTGGTTTGGGTGCCTGCCTCCACTAGAAGCCACATGGTTGTTTCTGACCATTTGCGGTCATGTGTACTTGCAAAGGCTCTTGGGTCTTTGGGCAACGTAAGGGGACAAGTCTTGCCTCAAGAGAATTCGAAACCAGGCCCCTCACATTCAGGTGAGGCAGCTGATGAGCCCTGGGGAGGAAAGCCGCGTCAGTTCCTTCTCCTGTTGTGGGACCAGCCCAGGCCCAGGCCCAGGCCCCCCACTCAAAGTCCAGGCTTTACCCAGGGACACCAGAGGCGGCCTGAAGTGTGGGGCGTGGAGTGGGCTGGCCTGACCCCACCTCTCATGAGCTGTGGGACCTTGGTGGCTTACCTAAGGTCTCTGAGCCTCAGGCTCCCCATCTGAGAAATTGGGGTACAGTAAGGAGTGTGGTGACGATTCTGCGCGCACTCATGTATAAACCACTCAGCACAGCACCTGGCTCTCTCCACGTGAGGAGAGCAATCCATGAGTCTAGCGAGATGGTCTCAACTGTTACTGCTGCTGGAGGGCTAGGTCTGCATATGTTCCTGCTCCTACTTTCTCATGCAGATGGCCTTTCTCCCCCATCATTTCAAAGGTTGCTAGAAATTTTACTTTTTGCAGCAGATACTCCACAAGACAGACAATCGATGGGCATATTGTAGGCACTTGAGTCTCCACCATGGGTGGGAGTGGCCCGGGGGGAGAGGTCGCAGTGTGGGTAGCTTCCCGGGACTACAGCGCTGCTTCCCGCAGCCGCCTTGCCTCTGCCCCACGGCCCACTAATGGCCGTCACTCCGTAGGCACCGGGGAAGGGCGGGGCCTCCAGGATGGCAGCCCTTGGTGACTGTCTTCACTCTGCCCTGCACTCAGCCCACCGTTTTTGCAGAATTGGTTTTTATGTTTTAAAAGTATGAGGTGTTGCTTACCGCTTAGTACTTGCCAGTGTGGCTGATGAGGTAGTGCCAGACAGACTGCCTCCTTGCCCACCGCCCTGCTGACGCTGCCCTGTGCTCTCAGTTCTGTCAGGCCAAGCAGAAGGCGGCCTTGCTGGAGATGCTGCACGAACTCTACAACTTCCTGGCCATCCAAGCCGGTGAGTAGGTCCCGAGGCCCCGGATCCTCATGAGCCGGGTGTGGGCCTGCGGCCGGGGCGGCTGAGGCGTTCTGTGGTCGCCGCCCAGAAGACACACTCAGAAACCAGCCCCTGGTTCCCCTCTGACACTGTTTAAGCCTTGCCTTTGGGCAAAACCACTTGGTTCTCACCTCCTGGAACGGCACAGGCCTTTCAGTAGCTCTTGGCCTCTCTGAATAAGCCCCACCTCGGGCTTCGGGCGCCCTGTTTCACTGGCAGGGTCAGGGGACCGGCCCCCAGTCTCAGAGTCTGGGTGCTTGCACCTGGAGGCCTGCCCGCACCAGATGGTCGGCCTGGGTAGGCAGAGAGCCCCTTGCAGGAGACAGGTCAGTGGTGAGCTGAGCACACTCAGGCCCATCCAGCCTGCCACGGCCCTCGTGTCAAATCTGGTCCCGGTCGCCCTAGCTGGCTCAGGATCTTGGACAACTCCCTCATCCTCTCAGGTAGTCTCTGGGCCTCCATCTCTGTTACCGCGTAATCTTGAGTCTCTTTTCTATTTTTAAATATGTTGGGGGGGGGGGGGACTGGTGGTTATTGATTTTAGAGAGAAAGGAAGGGAGAGGGAGAGAGAGAGAAATATTGATGAGAGAGAAACATGGATCGGCTGCTGCCTGCATGCCCCCTGCTAGGGATCGAGCCCACAACCCAGGCATGTGCCCTGACTGGGACTCGAACTGGCGACCTCTCAGTGCATGGGACAGCGCTCAGCCAGCTGAGCCGCATCGGCCAGGGCTCTCCTCTATAAAATGAAGTCCAAGTGCCGTCCTCCAGAGGAGGCACTCTCCGCACCCGGGAAAGATCCATCCCGGGATCCCCTGCTGTTTTATTGGGTAAACGGTCCTCGAGGCTAGAGAAGTCGCCTGCATTGTGTCCTTCCCACACCTGGCCTGGGAGGCTCTCGGAATCACTGGCTGATGGCATGGGCGAATGGGCTGTGCCGAGTTAAACGTACTCGGCACGCGAACCAGGTGGAGCTGGTCAGTCTTGTGGGATGTTCAGGAGGCACTCTTACCCACAGGACAGCCTTTGTCTAAGGCCATTGCTGGGAGTCAGGTTTGGGTGGGCTGGGCCCTCAGCTCTCCTCCCTCCTCCTGGTGGGAGACTGGAGGTGCTCAGGAAGCATCTGCACTCCTCAGAGGAGCATCCTATGGGCATTTCTCTGTGGCCCCGGTGCTTGGGATATAAATTCTGGCCCACGAGGGTGTTCTAAACGTGTGTGACTCGGTTGTGGTCCAAGCAGCAGCAGCTGCAGCAGCAGCTGAGAGCTTATTGGAAATGCAGAATCTCAGGTCCCATCCCAAACCAACTGAATCAAAGCCTGTGTTTTAATAATACCCCCAGGGGATAAAGTTGAGATGCTCCCGCTCTTAAACGGTGAATCCTAGTAGCCATCCCCCCTCCAGTCTCCACGTGTGGTCCTCACTTATACCATCCAGGGCTGGCTCCCACTGTGCTCTGACAAACCTTGCAGGGGCAGCCCTGCGGGCGTGCATCTCATAGAGCAGCTGCTGGGAGTGCTTGCTCTCTGGTGGGCCGTCCTCCCTTCCCCTGCCTGCCGGAGTCCGCTCTGGCCAGGGCACAGTAGGATACAGGATGGGTTCAGGGCCTGCCACAGGCCATCTACCTCGCTGACCACTGGGCGATAGGAGATGCCATTAGAGGAGAGCTGAGGGCCAGAGGTCCCGAGAGGCACGATGCCTTTAGCTAGAATAATGGGGAAGTGTCTTGGGAGGCCCCGAAGCCCAGGTCGGCTTGGTTTTGTAAATGTGGGGGGAGGTGGGGCCAACAGGCAGGAGGTTACAGGGTCAGGATGGAAATGGCTCCATGAGGGAAGGAGAAACAGGGAATGGAGATTGAAAGGGTCTGGTGGGTCCCACGGATGCCAGGCACGGGCTTAACGTTGTGGGCAGTGAGGCCAAGGGGCTTTTGCGTAGGGACGTGACATGCCAGGAGCAGGTGCCAAGAAGACAAAAGTGGCAGCAGCTTAGGTGGAGTAGTGGTATCTGAGCAGGCTTATGTTAAAGCTTTAACACATGTGAATGAGAGGGAGGAGGAAACCAGTCGTCAGGCAGGCCTGGGCAGGGCAGGAGAAGCCAGCTTGGTCCCACATGACCCAGAGGGTGAAGATCAACTTTGAAGTAGGAAGGATGGGCTTCAGTTCATTCTCATAATTTTTAATATTACCTTCAGCCACTCACTCCTCAGCATGCATGCATGCATGCATGCACGCACGCACGCACGCACGCATGCTGGCTGTTTGAAGCCCGGCTGGGCCAGGTGAACAGTCAGACATGTGGAGGGTGAAGGATCTTTACGTGCCCTGCCTGCATTGTCCCTGCTCAGGGGCTCTGGAGGTGAAGTGGCTTGTGGCAGATGAACCACAGCGGGCACTGAAAGCCAGGTCTGTGGCAAGCCCCCGAGTTCGGAGCAATCTGGCCAAACAAGAGGCCCCGCAGGCTGGGGGCTTTTCAGAGGGGAGGCCTTTGGTGGGAACCGAAAGGCTGGCAGGACTCAGGAGGCTCCCAGCTCCATCCGTCTGAGGCGGGAGCTGGCCCCCCAGGCAGCTTAGAAGGAAGCTTTGGAACACCGCTGAGGCCCCCTTCCTCCAGGGGCATGCTGGACACCTGACACCTCCCACAACCCTCAAACAGCGGGCCTGGCGTTCCAGGTCACCTGCCTGTATCTGTCAGAATCGCTGCTGCTCTTCCAACTAGGCTATGTTCGTTTATAGCGCCATCCGGTACCTTCCAAAGCTATCGGTCTGATCCTGTTAGGGATCAGTTGCAAACTGACCTGGTATTGGACAGCTTTTTAGTCATTTAATGAAAATCTTCACACTGCTTTGCAGGTCAGGTTTTAATGATCTGGAATCGATCCCAGCTAAGTGGCTTTGGATTGTGCTGCAGAGTGAGGGTGCCCCAGCAGCCAGAGCGCCAGGCCGCGTGCTCCCTGTGGGAGCTGATGGCTTGATTCACCTTCTCATCTTCCTTGTGTGTGAATGTCTTTCCTCCTAGGTAACTTCGAGTGTGGAAACCCAGAGAATCTGAAAAGCAAGTGCATCCCTGTAGCGGAAGCCCAGGAGTATGTGGCAGTGAGTGGGGGCACTCGCCGCCGGGAGGGCCTGGAGCTTTTGGATTGATTTTCAGACCCTGCGTTCGTTTTTCTTCCCTTTTTATTTTGTTTGGTGTTTGTTTGGTTTGGTTTCGGGGGGTTGTTTTTTTGTGGGGTGGGTTGTTTGTTTGTTTTGCTTTCTTGTCCCTCCCCCCTTTTTTTTGCCTTAGTTGAGTTAAGGCCACACTAGGGGTCAGTGAGCCCAAGGTGAGCCGTGAGCCAGAGCGGGCCTGCTGTGTGTGCGTGGCTCCCTGCTGCCCAGCGTGCAGGCCACAGCAGGCTGCCCTTCTAAACTGGCCTGTCACTGCTCCTCCTTCCGCTTCTTTTCTCCCTTTCTCAGCAGCTTTAAGGGCTCATGTGTCCCCTGCCCTCTCCCTCCTTGCGTGCTGTGTGGATTGTCTGGGGCCCGTTTGACTCCCGCACAGTCTCAGGGTAGAATTGGGGATACATGGAGCTGGCAGGGACATGGTCACCTAGTCCAGTTTTCACTTCACAAGGGAAGAAACTGAGGCCCAGAGAGGGGCAGGGGCTTGCCCAAGGCCACGCAGCTGGCCACCCCGCCCCCCACACTTTTTCATTTTACCCAAGAGGAGCTGCCACCTGGCTGGCTTGGTCCTTTCGGCTGCCTCAGCCCGCATTTCTTTCCCGCGTGTGCTCCCACGTCGCCTCCTCCAGTTACAGCCTCTGCCTCGGCTCTCACCAGCCTCAGACGTCCTTCCTGCCAGTTTGCTGCGCACTGAGCAGAGCAGCTCTTTGGGACGTGCAGAGGACCCAGGAGAGGACTTCGTTACCCAGCAGCAGAGTAATGCTGCCTAGCTGCTCTGCCCGGACACAGAGCTAACCTCCCGCCCCTCCCGCAGAACGTGACCGGCAGCTCCGCCGCCAAGTTTGAAGCCGCACTGACCTGGATACTGAACAGTAACAAGGACGTGGGCATCGGGTGAGTGTGCAGGGGCACCTGTCAGCTGGCCTCCTAGCTTCCCGCAGGCGCCAATCTGAAAGTGGGAGGGCGGGTCTCTCCGTGCGGCTGTGGGCTGGGCTGAAAGCTAGCGGAAGGAAGAGCGTCAGGAATGCAGGACAAGGAGCAGTTCCGGGGAGACACAGAGCAGGTGCCAGATCCGAGCTTTCCATCCGCCACTTGCGCGGTTTCTGGAGAAGGCAGCTTTCCACGGGCCTTTCCTCGGGCTAGTTTTCATTTACGATGAAAGGGTTCTGTGTGTTGGTTCTGCTCAGTATGGCAGTTGCACAAGGAAATGCTGGGTTTTATTCTGACTGGGTGGTTCTGCCTCATTTCTCTCCGGTGAGCAGCATTAGCAGACAGTGAGCCCTTTCGCCTTCCTGAAAAGCCTGTGGGACGGGCGGAGGTGGGGGCACCGGCTGACACCTGGACACCGAGTTTCCTGCCAGAAGAGCATTCGCCTCATCACCCGCTTCCACTCAGGGTTCGTCGGGGGCTCTGTTGAAGTCACAGCTCCTGATGCTAAACACACTCGGGTTTTGTTCTCTTCCTCTCTAATCCACCAAATCACTAATTCCCTCAGCTGTGCATCCAGCGGAGCCGGGCAGCTCAGCCTGAGCCTGGGAGCTGGGTGCATGGCCCCATGAAATGCACTGGCTTACAAAACAAAGCCTGCCTGAACGGCTGGCAATCCCTGTCAGAGAAGCGGGAGCTAGAGGCACGGAGCCAGAGCCGTGATACTCCCTCGCCTCTTCATTTTGGGAGGTGGCTGAGCTGGCTCAGACGACCCGGGTGAAAGTGGGTCACGAGAAACCGGGACACTTCAGGTACCAGCCATTCAGGTGTTCAGTCCAGCCCATGGCTCGTCGCCAGAGGTGTGGGTATCGGTGTCCCGCGGGTCCTGGCACCTCCTTGCCAGGAACCAGGGCGGAGGCGTTGCGCTGGGGCCTGGCCTCTCGGAGCCAGTTTGGGTGCCCTGCCTCCAGGCACCTCCTGTTCTCCTTAGGCAGCTTCTGTGCCCCCTCGGCCCCGAGAAAGGCACGCTCTCCCGGACGTGCGTCTTTCCACTCCTGCCATGCAGTGCAAGACGGCGACTCCGTCAGCATTCCCACTGCTCTCTGCGGGAGGGGGTCCTGTTTACAGTTAATCTTCCACACGCCGAGGGGGACTGTCAAAGGCCCAACGGGGACCCACTTCAGTGGCTGGGATTCGAACCTGCCGCCTCTTTACAGCTTTGCTCCTCCTAAAGGCCAGCGCAGGGGATTTCCAGAAGAGTGTCGTCTGTCTCAGCACAGAGAGGCCTCCCAGCCCCTCCTCCTGCTGCTGCTCAAAGTGGGGCACAGACTCGGCTCTCGGAGCTCTGGGGCGTGTTTACAGCCTGTGTCCTGTTTCAGTTTGAAAGGGGAAGACCCATCTGAGCCGGTGACAGCCGTGGACAAGGTGGTCTGCTTGGAATCCGCCCGGCCCCGCATGGGAGTGGGCTGCCGCCTGAGCCGGGCCCTGCTCACCGCCGTCACCCACGTGCTCATCTTCTTCTGGGGTAAGTGCTCGTGCGGCGCCAGCCCGCTCCGAAGCCCCGCTGGGGGTGATGCGTGCCGGGAAGCTGCCCGGAGTGCTGGTTCCTCTCGTGCACCTGAGGTCTAATGAGGTAGAGGACATGAGCAAGCCAGCCCTGCCCGGCCCTCTTCCCCGGAGGTCGGAGCCAGAGCATGAGGCTCACCAGAGAGGCTCCCTGTTCCTGAGGGGAGCCTGGCCCGGCGGAGTGGGCGCTGTCCCTTCCAGGACCCCAGCTGCAGGCCGCTGCCAGGAAGGCGCAGCGGGAGCTTGGCCTAATTTTACTCCCTGAACAGTGTGAACATCTCCTGGGAAGCAGGAAGGCCCAGCCTGTGAGCCCAAAGCAGAGCTCAGACCTGTGCCTGACAGCAGGGCTGCCTCTGAGCAGAGGCTGAGTCTCAGAGCTGCCAGCTCTGCCCAGAGAGCTGGTTATAAACCCAGGCACCTGGGCGTGCACACAGCTCCTGCACCCACGCTGTCAGGCAGACCTCATTACCCACAGCAGCATTGCGGAACACAGGGCCTGTGAGAGTGTGTGTGTGTGTGTGTGTCAGTGAGTGTGTGTGTGTGTGTGTGTGTCAGTGAGTGTGTGTGTGTGTGTGTGTGTGTGTGTGTCAGTGAGTGAGAGTGTGTGTGTGTGTGTGTGTGTGTGTCAGTGAGTGTGTGTGTGTGTGTGTGTCAGTGAGTGTGTGTGTGTGTGTGTGTGTGTGTCAGTGAGTGTGTGTGTGTGTGTCAGTGAGTGTGTGTGTGTGTCAGTGAGTGTGTGTGTGTGTGTGTGTCAGTGAGTGTGTGTGTGTGTGTGTGTGTCAGTGAGTGAGTGTGTGTGTGTGTGTCAGTGAGTGTGTGTGTGTGTGTGTGTGTGTGTGTGTGTGTGTCAGTGAGTGTGTGTGTGTGTGTGTGTGTGTGTGGAAAAGCCTGGGTCTGGTTCACCAGGGAGGAGGACTAAGGCTGGGAGGGTGGGAGGAGCCGAGTTCTGGACGGTGGAGGGACCTGTGGTGACAGCTGGCGGAAGGGAGAGGCTCACTGACTAGCTGTCCTCCTCTGCATTCCTGCATCCTTTGTTTCCTGCTTGCTGGCCCTGGCCGGCCACATAGCAGGTACTCAGAACCCATTTGAGCTCACCCACAGCCTCCACGCAGTGCCGGGCCCGGTGAGACCGAGGAGGTCTGAGCGTTGGGTGATGTGAGCCTCTAATGGTGCTCTCTTCCTGGCAGGCTTGGCCTTTCTGTGGGGACTCCTGATCTTCCTGAAATATCGGTGGCGCAAGTTAGAAGAGGAGGAGCAGGCCATGTATGAGATGGTGAAGAAGATCATAGGTGTGTGGCCCGGGGGAAGGCTGCCCGCCTCCGCCAGGCGTCCTGGCCCTAACCTGTGCCCTCTGGCCTGCAGATGTGGTCCAGGACCACTACGTGGACTGGGAGCAGGACATGGAGCGCTACCCGTACGTGGGCATCCTGCACGTGCGCGACACACTCATCCCCCCGCAGAGCCGGTGAGTCCGGGGTCTGCCCCCCCCAGTGCCTCACGGCAGCGGCCGGATTCCAGGTGGGGAGCGTCCACACCCCACGCCTCCAGCCTCGGCATTTGTGGGAGAACGCTCAGGCACGTGAGGAGCATGTCCCTCTCCTGTAGAGGGCAGCACCGTTAGACAGAGGGGTGGGCGCTTGGGGCAGCAGGGCTAGGACCACCCCCTGCCCCAGGGGCTAGGCAGGGAAGTTGGATTCTCGTGGGCTTGCCTTCTGTGAATGCTGTCTGCTCGGCTGGGGTTCCTCACGGTCACAGGATGCTGGCCAGCAGCAGCGTCTGCCTCGTTCCAGCCAGCCAGGGAGGGGCTTCCTGCTCTCACAAGCAAAGGAAACACTTCCCCGGAGCCGCCAGTGGCCACTCCCCGAGGCCCCGCTGCCCAGAGCTGGTGACCGACCTGCCCCTGAGCCAGTCACTGGCCAGGAGGAGGAGACTGTTTTCCACAGTCAGACACACCCGTTACTAAAATAGGACGATGTGGCTCCCACCGTGCAATTGAATGCAGTTTCACAGCAGCGGAGGGAGTGGAGTCTGCTCCAGGGCACGGCGGCAAGGGAGGGGCGGCAGGCTTGTCAGGCTGCACTCCAGAGCCCCCTCCACACGGAACTGAGAGCGCCACTCCGGCAGGCCTGTGGCGCAGAGGCCGCGTGCGTTCGTCACTCACCAAGCGTGCGCTGGTGCCTGCGGCCTGCCGCACTGTCGGGTGGCGGCGAGGCGTGGGGAGTGGGAAGCCTGCTGGGTGTTGGTTGAGGAGGAGGATGGGAGATGCATAAGGAGAGTGTGCACTGTGGGCAGTGACGAGTCCCAGGAGGAGCGGGGTGTCGGGAGGCGGCCTAGCCCTCAAGGTCGCTGGCGCACTTGGGCACACGCCCGCCTCCGACGGCAGCACACCGCTGGGCTTTAACTGCAAACACACATTCACTAAGACGAGACCAGAAGTGGCACTGCAGTCCCGGCCCAGCACCGCACCCCGGCCCCTGTGGTCACCAGAAGCCCCAGGCGCTACTCCAAGGTCCGAGTGACCAGACCTCAGGCTCTTGCTTCCTCTCTGAGCCGCTCAGTCCATCGGCTGAGCTGCTGGCCCGGCGTGGGCGCGCCAGTGGTCGGGTGAGGGCCTCCTCCTGAAAGACGGAGCTGCGGGAGCCAGGGGCTCGGGGAGGCTGCAGGCCGCCTGCTCATTAGCTGTTAATGGACAGCCGGGGAGGATGACCCAGACCCACACCGTGCCAGCTGCCTGCCCTTGGGCCCAGCGAGACCAGCTCAGTCCCTAGGCATGCGTGGCCTTGGCCAGACCAGCCGCACGGGCTTCTAACCAGCTGTGGGGTTTGGTCAGTGGCAGGACGCATCCCGGGGAAGCCAGCCTCCTCAACCCCTCTGCCTCCTGACCGCAGGCCACCTCGGGAGCTCCCCCCCAGGCCACCCCCCCGGCCTCCCCAGGGTGAGCCCTCCTGCTCTCGCTCACACATGCTCCCTCCGCACACACAGCGCGGGTCCGAGGGCAGGTGGTCTGCAGCTGACAAAAGCAGGGGCTTGGGAAGCAGCCTCCCTGGCGGCCCTGGAGTCTGTCTGGTCGGGAGGGCCGCTCGGAGGGGGTGCAGGACCTCTGGCTGCTGGCCTAGGCCCCCCGCTGGGGAGGGGCTCTGCCTGGTGGCTGCTGCTTCTCGACCTCCCCAGCGGGGGGCTTAGCTCTTCGCACCCCCTGACGTGCTGTGGGTTGGACTCGGCAGCCAGCAGCCACATTAATTAGCCCACAGGAGGCATTCAGATGCAGACAGCACTGGTCAGGGCCGCCGGCCAGGCTGTGCAGTGGCAGGCCCGGGAGCACAGCCCCTTCCCGTGGACACGTAGGGCTGCTCTGGACACCGCTGGCCCTTTCAGCTCCCGTTAAAGGAAGGCTTCGGGAGCAGAACACGTCGAGCCATTTGTCGGGGCCCAGCAAGTGGCGGCTGCGGGAGCCCTGTGGGACCGGGAGCGCCGCCTCCCTTTGTGTAGGAGCGCATCCACAGACCTGCTGGCCGCCCTGGCCTGAGCCGGGCCCTCTCTTTGCAGGAGGCGCATGAAGCGGGTCTGGGACCGCGCCGTGGAGTTCCTGGCCTCCAACGAGTCCCGGATCCAGACGGAGTCGCACCGCGTGGCTGGAGAGGACATGCTGGTGTGGAGGTGGACTAAGCCCTCTTTCTTCTCCGACTCCGAGCGATAAAGCTCGCGGGGCCTTCCCCTCCAGGGCTCGAGAGGGCCGCCGACCTGCTGGTGCTGAATTCACACTTGCCTTGACTCACCTCCTGACCCTCGTCCAGAGGTCTCCAGAGCGTCGCTTGTAGGAAAACCGAGCTTCCCTGGAGGGTGGAGGAGACCGGGGCGGAGGGTCACTGTCCTCTGTGTTGGCCCATCCTCTGCGGGCAGAAAAGCGGAGAAAGCTTTGTCCGTGGCTAGAAGAGAAGCAGCGGCTGAAATCTGGCGAGCACGCGGGGCCGGGCGTGGGCTGGGCCGGGCCGGGCCGGGCCGGGCCGGGCCGGGCCGGGCGGCAGGGCGGGAGCAGCCGTCCATGTGCCTTCAGGGTTCGCTGGGAGCTCTAGCCGGACGGGGCCTCATCCTGAGGGGAGGACCGATAGGAGTCCAGAATGCCCGGCCCTGGGCCCTGGGCCTCCTGTCGTGTGAGCTGCTGCTGTAGCCTCCAGGGAGGAGCTGGCATAGTCACAGCCTGAGGGGAGGAGGAGGCTGCCACCAGCCACCATCTCCGTGCCCGCCTGCAGTGGGCCTGTCACTGAGACCGGGTTTTATAGACCAGACCTGTAGCAGGCACGCATCCTCCCGGGGGCCTCGCACTCCTGTGTGCGGAGATCTTGTTTACAGCGACCACAGCCTGCCCACCCAGGGCTGGGGAGCCAGGACCTGCAGCACCCCAAGGCGCAGGGCTGCACCACTGCCCCTGCTGGCCACAGAGCCTGCCTGCCGCTCCTCACACCCTCTGGCTCAGCAGTGGCCTGGGGGTGGGAGTCTCCAGAAACAGGCCGGAGGCGCCTTGTTAAGAGCAAGAGCCTCCAGAGGAGTCTCATCCCAGATGTTCACATCTGCAGTGGGTGGCAGATGGGGAGGCGCAGAAGCTGCCTCCAAGGGCATTAGCCACCCCTGCTGGTCTTACTGGTATTTTTTCTTAATAAAGCTCAGTCTCCCTCGTTTGAGTAGCGCGATCATTTCCTCTCACTGGGTGGTCGGCTCCGGCCAGAATAAAACAACAGACGTCACCATCAGGATTGAAAGGGATAAACACTTCATTGAGAATGATGAGCTTCTCCCCTGGGCTGTGTTCCCTTCCCCGAGGAGCAGGGGGCGAGGGAGGGAGCACTGGCTGTGTGCAGAGAGGCCACTGGGAGACGCCTTGGGCTGGGTGGGGTGCTGGGGCACCAGGGTCTCCCTCCCTCAGGGCTCAGCCTCGCAGAGCCAGGCCCTCCAGCACCGGGACTTGCAGAACCTGTTTCCACTTCGACACTTAGACACGCAGCCCTCAGGCGGGCTGGCGGAAGCCTGATCTTCCCTCGCCTTGTTTCCTGCTCCCCTCAGGCCCGGTGCTCCGGCCCCTGGGGGACAGGCAAGAGCAGCGTGAGGCTGGCAGGGGCCCCAGAGGAGGCAAGTGTCCCCGATGCTGGGGGCAGAGGGGGCACCCTGAGGGCTGGGCCCTGGGACTGCACCTGCAGGGCAGCCGCCGTGGGGCAGAGGTTTACCGAGTGGGCTCAGGGCCTAGCGCCATTGGCCCTACGGCACAGCCGGTGCTGGTGAGACTGTGGGTGTGAGGTTGACTCCGAGATGGGAGTGGCCTTCCTCAGCACCCAGCGTGGGAGAAGGCAGCCTGGGCTGTCCCCACCTGTGGGTGGTGGCTGGTGCCTGAGCATCGCCCTCTGTCCTCCCATCCGCTAAATTGATGAAGGACCGGGAGGAAAAGGAGCCACTTCCCCTTTCTGTTTTGCAGGGAAAGACTTTCTGCCGTCTTTTTGTCTTAAGCTGGGGGCGAGCTAACACAGGGCGAGCTCCCTTTCTGTGAATCTGGAGAGCAGGAGAGATCAAAACACGAAATAACAAGAGGCCCACCAGCCGCTCTTTCTTTACGGTCCACGGAGCGCAAAGCAAAAGGCCAAGGGCGTCCTCAGATGGCCCAGGTCCGGCTCTGCACCGGGGGACCCGCCCAGGCAGGTCCACGGGCCTGTCTTCCTCAGTGACAAGCAGCCTCTTGGCTGGTGGGCTCCGATAAAGAACGGGGTGCTGGAGGGGGAGGTGGTACCTACAAATCTCGGCCCTGGGTGTCCCAGGAGCTCCAGGCCACCTTCGGGAGTCAGCTCAGAAAAGGTGGACGTGGCCATTTGTCACTGACTGATCACAGGAACTGCAGCAGCAGCCGTTCCCTTCATTAAAACACCATTGACTTTGAGCCTCAAAAAAGCCTTTGTCGAGGCAGGTGTGTGGACTCAGATCCATTATCCTGTCGGCCGCCCCAGCGGGAAGGGCAGGGAGTGGTGGTGCCGCGAGCCAACCCAGCTCTTCAAAACAAGCCAGCTCTGCACCGGCGCCGGAGAACACTCTAGAGAGAGGGTCTGGCGAGGGCCCCACCATCACTGGGGACAGGCAGGGGGAGTAGGCGGGGGCACTGCCGCCCGGTGCTGCCAGGGGCAGCATGCAGTGGAGGACCCAGTGTCCTCGGGATCTGCTCTACCTTTTCTGGCTGGACCTCGGGCCAACTGCTTTATCCCGACAGCAGGGAACGTTATTAAGAAATAAATTATTAAAATTAGCCCACTGAGGGCAGGAGGCACATGAGGTAGGCACACATGCTAGCATTATGGCACACATGGTAAGTTACATATAGCCCACTGAGTCCTCACAACCACCACAGTGGTGGGTGTGTTTTAGCCCCTGTATAGGGGGAAACAGGCACTGGGAACTCAGGGACGTGAGGGAGCCGAGGTTTGAATCCAGACAGCCCAGCTCCAGAGCCCATGTTCTCAGCCCTGCTCTCTTCCTTCCTCCAAAGAACAGAAGGGGAAGCCATGCTCAGGTCTGCTGTGGCTTTGCCGGAACAGAATAAAACCGCCTTGGTTCCGAGGAAGAGGCCTAGGAGGCCCCTCTCGCCTGCCTTCTGCCAGGCACAAACCAGACACGCCCAGGCCTCGAGCTGGCGGGGAAGCCCTCTGAAATGGGACTTCTCTGCAGCCTGATGAGGAGAAAGGAAGGGAGGGCACTTCACAAGAAGGGTGGGGTTTCTTCCTGCCCAAAGTGGGGGCAGGCCACGGCGGAGGCCCGTGGAGTCTCAAGTGATCCAGCCTCACGGATGCAGGGAGCACGGAGTGGGGAGGAGTGCCGGAGCCGGAGGAGCGGGAGGAACGGCGGGCTCAGAGGGAGGAGGAAGGCAGAGAGGCGTCCCTGGGGATCACAGCCCAATTTCTACTCGGTTCTATTTGCTGAGGAGACAGGGAAAGTACAGTAATTTTCTTCAATGAAAACAGCCAACAGAATTCCCTTTGCCTCGTTCCCTTTGCAATTAAGCCCTTCTCTGCAAATGAAGTGATTTGGATTTCACAGGGACTAATTGAAGCACAGCGGAAGGGCCGCTGAACTTTCTGATTGCAAACACCAGCGCATGCAAACCCCCCACGCAGCAGAGCCAGGCTGGGAGGGGCACCTGCATGTGGAGTCCACCTGGCCCCCAGCTCCATCTGTGGACTCTCCCTCTCCCCCGTGCGCGCCAGCCTCCACCCCAGCCTCCCGCGTGTGGAGGCGGGCCTGGCCCTGGGCAGACCAGAGCCCTCTGACACCCGTGGTGCCTCCTGAGCTGGTGGTGCCACGTTGTCCGCCTCCTGCCGTGCAGAGCTGCCGTCCAGGCCCTCTCCCTCTCCGTGGAATGTGCAGGCCTGGCCATGACCGCTTTTGACCAATGGGAGGTGCCCGTTCTGAACCAGATCTTGGAGGCCTCGTCACTCCCACTCTCACCCTTGGGCCCGGCCCCACCAAGTAAAGAGGAAACAGCTGCCCAGCTGCCTTGTGGGGAGACGGGTGCCCACCAGCCCCAGGCTGTGCCCGCATCCCAGCTGGCACACCACTGTCCCGCCCGAGAATCCTAAGTCACACAACACATGGTGGTTGTGTTAAGCCACTAAGACCGTATTGTTATTAAATTTTTTAATTTGAAATAGTTTACAACTCACAGAAGATGCAAAATGGGGGATTTCTCCTGTACCCTTCCCCCAGCCCCCCCCCCCCCCACAGTGACGACACCACACGTAACCTGGCATAGAATCAAACCCGGACCCTCACAACATTATTAACTCAGGCACAGACTGAGGCTTTACCAATGTTAGTGCACGTCCTGGTGTGTGTGTGTGTGTGTGTGTGTGTGTGTGTGTGTGGTTCTATGGGATTTTATCACACAAAGCCACGGAGTTTTGGGGCGGTCTCTTCCTTGAAATGGGTGACGGACACAGGGACGGATGAGGTCCCTGGAGTGTGTATTACTCAGCATTTCTCAGTTGAAAGTGACAGAAACAGCTCAGACAGACTTCAGCACCAGGGGACCCACTGGCTCACGTAGATCAGTGAGCTGAGGTAGGCCCAGTGCACAAAATTCATGCAGAAATAGGGTCCCTAGCAGCCAGAGCAGCCGCCTCCAGGGGAGGGACACGCGGGGCCTGGATGGCGGGGCCTGGGTGCTGGATCCTGTCCTCAGAGGCTCCGGCACCCGCTGCCACCCAGTGAGGAGGCCCCGGGGAGGGAGAGGGGAAGGGGCCACCTGCAGGCCGTCGGTGGACAGAGGGAGGGTCAGAACTGAACCTGGGCCTCCTGCACCGCAGAGCAGGGGTGGGGCTCCGAGGTGGGGAAGGAAAGCCTTGCTCTCAGGCAAAACAGGGGAGTGACGTGGCCAAGCCCGGGCGCCGGCCCAGCAGGACGTGGAAGGACACGCTGCACTCGGGGAGCGGTGTGGTGGGAATCCTGGTCTGAGGGACGGGGCAGCTCGTGTGCAGAGCGTCACTGAGGCCATTTGCCGAAATTCCTGGCACAAGGAAAGGTTAGACTTCCCCACTCTGAAACCAGGCGTGGCCACGGCCTGGCTTTAGCAGTGGGGTGGGGATGGGAGTGGAAAGTGGCTCTTGAGGCAGAAAGGGGAGGAGCCGGGACACCTTGCCTCTTCCCCTGCCATAGCGTGATGCCCCAGCT